AGTAGATGTTAAATTCAATGATTCGCTAGCCTATAGTATTCTGGTTTGTCTTTTAACCCCTTTTAAAACTAATGGATATGTGTTTGCCACTTTCAATATCCACAGACATCTTCCCTGAATCATGTGACTTTCCGCCCCTTTTGCTGTCACTTTGGTTTTGAAAAAAGTAAATCAATAGTGTACCTTAAAAAGCCTTGGCACTATTGTTAGTAAATATATTGCATTCAGTTACTTTTGCTCACTAAACGTTGCTTGATATAATACCAGAATATCCTCAACTGCATTAGGAAAAAAGGATGCTATTTTCAGCTGTAAATCAAGGATTGATTTCTTTTAAGATATAATATATATTTTATGTATTGCAACTAACCTTGTTATGTGTCAGGTTTTTCAGAAACCTCCATTCTCTCATTCATTTATGATCTATGCAGACTTCTGAAGAGGTAGATTTGCCTTTGCCTATCCAGTTTAGACTCCAACAGGTTCCATTTTTAAACATTTAAGCAAATATATTTGGGGATACTTCATATAGATGGCCCTTCACATTGCTTAAATGTGATCCTTAATAACAATCAATCTTCCTGGGTCTACATTTCTTCATCTTTAAATTGGAAATATTATTATAAAGCCATTCTGTCATTTTGAGACTCAAATGAGATAATGCACATGCATGTATAAACTGTAAGACTATGTGCAAACTCCAATTTCTTCTGCATAATCAATCAAGAAAGTCAAGCAAATAATTCACCTTATGAAGGAGGACAGTGGACCTCCATTGTTCTTGAATTGATCCCCTTGCCAACTGACCCACATAATGGCAAAGCTTATATATGACTGCAAAGGGAGTAGTCACATTAAGCTACTTATAGTAGAGTTCAAACTCACCAACAGGTAAAAGATGTGGCAGTTGCCTTACAAAAACATCTACACCCTTGGAAACACTGTGAGAAATCTACTCTGTCTTCTAGGGTGGCTCTTGAGATGTAAGGACTTGAAGATAGTGGGTTTGCTTATTCAAGAAGGTGACAGTTTCTAGAGAAAGAATCAAATTCTTCAGATCAGTGCTACTACAAATCCATGACATCAAACACAAGAGAGTGCCCAACATTCCCTGTTTCTCAAGTGAAGTTGTATTTCCAATTGTGTTAGTCTGGGTATTTTAGAGAAACAAATCCACAGAAACTCATCTATAAGAGAAAGTTTCACATAAAGGTTTAATGCACATCAAGAAAACATCCCAACCCAGTGCTTCCCAAGCCCACAAGTCCAACATTAACCCATATATTTGACACCAATCCACAAAGTTCTCCTCCACCTCACAAAACACATGCAATGACACTGACTGCAGGAGGAAAGCTGAGTCTGAATGTGTAAGCATGGCAGGGTCTCCATAAGGCTGCCCCAGCACCCAGGGCTGCATCGGGTTAGGTCCATGTGGTTTCTCCTCAGGGATGTCTTGCAGGCAATGAGCCTTGCAAGCTGAAGCAGGGAACTGGCTAAGGCAGCTGCACCCTGGTCCGACCATCACAAAGCAAGAGACCCGAGAACTAGAAAGGCGAGGCTTACCAAGCCTTTCATCCCTCCACCCTTCAATGAAACCCTCATGTGTTTATTAGCCAGGTTGGCACAATAAACAAATTACCTCACCAATCATTCCAAAGACTGACATCTACCGCCTTTCCTGGCTTTGAATATCCACCTTATGGGCTCTCCCTTCACTTTCAATAGTAATCATTCTCCTCAAGACCTATCTGAGAACACAAGAATCTTGATTTAAAATTTCGCAATTTAGTACCAATGAACCTACCAGTACTCACTGCCATCAAGCCAATGCTGATTCATAGTGACCCCTGTGGGATTCTAAGATTGTAACTACTTAGGGGAGTAGAAATCCCAGGCCTTCTGTGGTGCAGTGGTTATGCATTGGTCTGTGACATCCATGGTCAGCAGTTCAAAACCACCAGCAGCTCCACAGGAGAAAGACTGGGCTTGCTACTCTGGTAAACAGTTACAGTCTTGGAAAACCATAGAGAGGCCATTATGAATCGGCAAGAACATACCTGTGTGCTCTATTCTCAGTTCTGCCTTCTAAAATGGGGGACTCCTGTATCACACTTTGCACCTCCCTAAGTTCTCTAAACAGTTAAAACATGTTAGTCATTCCATCTTAAGAGTATTTTACCCCTGAACACTATATCCACTTCCAACTTGAAATTTACCATTCTCCTTCTGTTCACAGCCAAATAATTTTCTCACAAATTCAGCCCTTCTTAACTTGCTATTTATGGTTGTTAAAAATAGTTTCATCGAACTATTATTAACACATTAGACAATTCAATGGTTCAATCATTTTAAAAAGGTTTGTGCAATCATCACAATTGAATTTGGGATGCTTTCTTCTTGCCTGTACTCAGTGATACTGGCTCCCCATTTCCCCGCCTCTCCCCTTCCAGCCTCCCAGGTCAGTATTGCTTCATTTGCTGTCTCTGTAAATCCACCCATCCTACTAATTCTTTAATCCACTGCAATTTGGCCTCTTTATACTTTATCATAAACAAGACTCTACTGTTGAAAACTTATGAAAACTTTTCAGTATGTGTTTTCCTTGATCTCTCAGTGGCTTTTGATTTTGTCATCTGTCTTCCTTCTTGAAACACATTCTTTCTTAGTTATTTTATATCATATTATTTTCCTCTTACCCCTACATCTCTACTTTCTTTCTTTTTGTTCAAGTTCCAGATGTTTATTTTTCAGTGTAAACCCCAACACGACCCACCAACATGATTTCGTGCATTTAGGAGAGAAGGATGTACTGTTTCCATGGAAACCTGTGCGGGTAACTTCTGGAAGACCTTACTTCTGAGCAGCTTGAGGGGAAAACATTTCATTGAGAAGTCGGGGCCTTCTTTCTTCAGTTTGCTGTCATCCGTGTTCACAGCGAAGAATTTAGATTGTTCATTGGGACCAATGGACATCTGGATTAAACAGTGCCAGACGCATGACCTACGGTGCTGCTCCAGTCGCTGCAGCTCCAGTCAACACGAAGACAGGGATCAGACTCGGGTGCTTCCTGGCCTGGCCGAGGATCTGACATTGGCCTCGGGTAACGAGGAGAAAACAAATTGGGCAGACCCAGGAGCTAGGACTCTGCACGATGTTCTTGTCCATCTCTACTTCTTGGTCCGACTTAAAGACTCACAATTCTTTGCTTAACTAAAATATTTTCAAGTTTCTAGTCCAGGATTAAGACCTTTATAAAAGTGTCCTGGATCTGTGTGTTCATGTGTGTTTGTGTGTGTATGTAAGCTTCAAAATGTTCAAAAAATATTCCATTATTTGGATTTTAATTTTTCCACAAGCATTCCAAAGCTTAAGTGTGTGTGTGTGTGTGTGTGTGTGTGTGTGTGTGTGTGTGTGTGATTTATGTCATGCTCATTTCTTATCATTTTTAAGTGGTGGGAAAAAATTTTATTTCTATTTTTCATGAACTTATTGACATCTCCTCATATAATTCATATTATAGTTCAGTGATGGAAACCTGTTGGAGATGAGCAACTCCAATTATTACAGCAAATGAGAGTAATGGAAAACTTGCATTCTGAACCTGTCAAAGTTTGGAAACTTGACACACCTGGAACAGTAAAGCAGCCTCATTACAGTTCTCATAGGAGTCACTGTAGATACTTTCAATTCTAAAATTGGTCTTTCAATCCAAGGTCTTTATTCTGAACTTGAGACCTATATATCTGTCACTGTTATCTGCCACATGGCTGTACCATGTTAGGATGTTGCTACTAGGGTTCCAATCCAAACATGAATGAGTATATTGCAAACAAAAATGTTTATTGCCAACAAAATGTTTCTCTTTTCATTGGATGAGTATAGAAAAGTTCTTTCTCAGTAATACACTTGTTTTAGTCTTGTCAGGGATAACACCTTATAGGTAACATATTTCAGGAGGACACATTCCAAAAACTTTGCAACAAGTTCGCAGGAATGCTATCTCATATAAAATAAATTTTAAATTGGATCAAGCATTGTACATAAGGACAGTGTGATAGGTAGGTTTATTGTGCCAACCTGGCCAATAAGAACATGTGGGATCAATCAGGTCACAGTTTGACTGGAGGGCAAAGAGATAAATGACTTGGCAAGGCCTGCCCCTTTCTCTTTTCCTCTCTGGTGATTGGACCAGCATGCAGCTGCTTTAGCTAGTTCTCTGCATCAACTTGTGAGCTACATGACCTGTGGGACAGCCAACCTGTGGATCCTGTGACTAGAGCTTGAGGTTCCTTTGAGACCTGCTTTGCCCACTGCTAATGTATGCATACCTTGAACTTGAGGCTGGCAGATCCTGTCATCTTGTAGTGCTTGAGTTCAATATCCCATTCGGGCCTGTTTTGCTAAGCTTCTGAGCTGCTGACACTTGATGACCCACCCTGCTGTTTGCTGTCTGTGGGCGGACTGCCTGCGTTACCTTAGGGAAGACTCAGCTGTCTGCTTCCTTGACTTTGGACCCAGGTGTCTGGTGAGTTGAAGAACTTCCAGTATATTAACTATTCCATGGAAGTGAGTTGAACTGAACCCTCTGTACTGCTGTATGTACTAATTAGCTGTTATATTCCTTTGTGGTATATCTATCTATCTATCTATCTATCTATCTATCTATCTATCTATCATCTATCTATCTAATCATAAGTGTCCTAGTTTTCTTTCTCTAAAGAACCCTGTCCAACGCAGACATGAAAACTTCAAAGATAAGGTAAGAGGAAATACTATCAGTGTCAATGAATGGAAAACTTGTGGCTGACATCCAGAAGCTGGTGGAAGACTAATTGCCATTGATGCAAAAGCAATCTCACATAGTTTGAATGTGTTCAATTATAAGTGAACATCTTGCCCGCAGCAATCTTTCAATTCCACGGATCCCAAAGCATTGCACAAAGATCAGCTAGCTAAAAAAGCTGATATTTCTATTAGTTTGTTTTTCTAATTTTTAAAAATGTCTATAACAAAATTTATCCCTGAGGCTCAGCAGAGATGAACAGGGCCCATGAGTTATAGTGTCTCTGGGGCAGCCTTTTCGGCTAGTGCCAGCCATGGGTGTGGAAGGCACTGAATTTGACACAGTTGCCAGTTTTGGGGGGTTTTATTTGTTTTTTTAAACAAGATCAAAGGTAATGAAGAAAACTTTATGGAACAAATCATAATTGAGGACAATAATTGAGGTCTTGGATTTGTCTTTAAATATGAAACAGCAAAGTTCAGTTAGAATAGTGAACTGCCAAGGGATCTGCTGGGCCAGTTCAATTCTAGGTAGAGAGCCCAACTCAGAAGGCTTTGGAATGGTTACTTTTGGACTGCAAAAATGTAATCTTGATCACCTTTCCTGAAGGACAACAGAGGGTTCCTTATAAAGAAATTAAAGAAAAATAGAAACCTGAATTGGTGAGAAAATGGGCAAGAAATATGTGTTGAGGAATATTTTTTCCAAGAAGTATCCTTTGACACTTTCCTTGGGAAACCTTATCCTGTCTCCTCTACAGCCCCGATCATGCCCCTTTAGATTGCTTTTTGTTTTAAAACTTAAAAACAATTTAAAAGATGCACAATTTATTCCCTTGAGGGTGCCAAAATGGCAATTGTTACCTGGTATAATCCAGAGTCCAGAATTCTTTGGGAAAGATTCGACAGATGAAAACAATACTTTCAGAAGTGTACAGTACTAGGTGAATAACATGTTGAAAAACATTAGTTTCACATTTTGATGTTTAATAAAGGTTTCTGTGGTTTTCTAGCATTATCTTTTGACTTACCCTTTTGCACATACATAAAACACAACATGAGTGGACTAATAGCATTATCTTTTCCAAAATTTGATCATCTTTTTTCATTTCTTCTCTCAATAAATGATACTAGATTGACACTGCTACACACGTTTAAAACATGGGCTTCAAATTCAAATCATTATTCTTTCTCCTTTAAATATGTAATCACCATCTTTCATTTAGTTCATATCTTAAATATCTTTTGAATCTAATAGCTTCAGTTTTACCCCTGACCACATTAGATGGAGATATAAAATGTTTTGAATAAGTAGAGTCTGTTCAAAAACTCTATAATCAAATTGTACCATTTCAAATTCTTCTGGAACTCAGACATTTTAGAGCATGGAAGCTAGATAAATTCACAAACATGTTGCACTGAAATAGTTATACATGTTAACTAAAAATATCCCCTGAAGTGTTCTTTTAATAAAATAATAAACCTAAATTCCCAACCTGTTGCCATCACGTCAATTTTGAGGACTCTATAGGACAGTGTAGAACTGAAACATCTGTTTTCCAAGATTTCATCTCTCCAGAAGTAAACTGCCCAACTCCTTGGCAGAGCAGCTGATGTATTCAAATCACCAACCTTTCAACTAACACCTGAGTTAACTCCTGCTCCTCCATGAGGGCTCCTTAAAATGAGCAATAGTTTATCATTAGTAAAGCATATCTGTTTGAGCATTGGACTCTTCTAAGGTATTATGTATGAGATCACACGGACAACAGAATCTTAAAAGGCTAAATTGGAAACATGGGGGACAGTGTGTTGTTTATTTTGAGGGATGGAACAACTTGGAAAAGAAGTCTGATGAAGGTTGCACAACTGGAAAAATGTAATCAGTGTTTAGTAGAAACTTGAATTTGCTATATTTTCCTATGTCTAGTTGCAACAATTACAAAAAATAAATCGAAATAATTTTTGCATATATAGATAATGTACTGAAAATTATTTTTCATCTGAAATTCCACTTAAATAGGATATTATAAAGCTAGCACAGAGATATTTTTCTTCTGAGGCTGATCTCTTATTTTGTGGCCACCATCCTTCCCCTACATAACCACCAGCTATGGAAAGGCCTAGATTTCCTCAATTTGTTCCTCATTATTAGCTCTTTAGGTTCTGAAAGGTTAAGTCTTTACTTAGTGCCATCGATTTTCTGATCATTTGGTTTTAGTCCTCCTCTCTTCGTGACCGTTTTGCTTCCTCCATGAGCTGCTATGCCGCTGTGCTGTCCGCATCTGTGGACCATGCCCCTGTAGCGGAGACCGTGTGCTGGTGGGTAGTGGTTATGAGGGCAAGGTCGGCAGTTTGAAATCACTAGCTGACCCATGTGTGAAAGACAAGGCTTCCTACACCTGCAAGGTGTCACCGTCTCGGTAATCCCCAGAGACAAGTCTACTTTGTCCTCTGAGGTCACTGTGATTCCGAATCTAGTTGCAGCATCTTAAAGCACAATTTTCTAAAGCATTTATTCTATCTAAATAAAGATCATTTTTACATTGTTCAAGTGACTGTCCTCTGTGGATATGAAAATTGATTTTGGAGATCCTGGTTGGCTCTGTTCACGCAGGTGACACTCCCGTGCTCCCATCCAGACCACAATATCAATAAAAACAGGAGTTATTTCGCCTCCACTATTCTCAGGTATCTTTACAAAGTGGGGTGCTTCGGAGAATGAAGTTTAGAGAGGAATGACATGGAATGAGTAGAGTGTGAAACACAGTCTATTAACTAATCAAAATTCAAACGGTAACTACCTAAATACAATTGTAAATATACTTTCTTGTCAAAAGGAAATCTCCTTTTAACATGTTTAGAGAAAGATAATATTAAGAATTTGTACCTGCTCAGGACTTTGAGTGTTTTATATGAATCCTTACACAAGTTGGTCTTCCAGAAAATGCAAACAACCAAAGAAAAAATCTGAAAAACTTTGGAAAATCCCCAAGGAAACAGAATAAGGTAGTGACTCTTAAAAAGAAATCAAAAGCACTCAGCAAATCTGTGTCAGGTGAAAAACAAAACAGTGAATGAAATAGAAACAAGCACCCTGATTTCATTGTTCAGTCTGAGTAAAATAATAAACAAGCAGCTCAACTGATGAAAAGGAAACTAGACGTTTTTTTAAAGGCAATCTACCACTTTGAATCACCCACATGTGACTTTTAAAAAGCATACTGTTCTTGGCATGTGAAACAAAATTAAAAACACTGCTTTTTCTTTTTAAGTCCACAAAAGGCACATTAACATATTATATAATTTAACATTTAAAAATTACTTTAGGTTAAGTAAATATCTTAGCAAATGCATCTTAATAGGCAAATACAAGGCTGTAATGAGAACACATTGGTCTTGATGGTCAAGAGACTGAAAACTTAGCCCAATACTTAAAAGAGCTATGTAAATTGGACAAATTGCCTAGCTTCGGTTTCTTTGTGCCTCACTTTCCTCCCCTTTAAATTGATCGGTTAGACAAAAAGGTTTTCAAGCAATCGTCCAGCCCAAATTCTAGTGTGGAATAAAATTAAAAAGCAAATGTCCTTTTCACAAAAAATAATTACTTGCTACTGAGTATAATTGTTTCATTTTGGTAAAATGAGATATTCATTTTTATTTGCACAGTTTTCTGTTGACACATTGTACCTATGAAGCTGTGTGATGTTTTTGAACAAGCATAGAGCACTTGCTCTTGCAAATGTGTCGAGTCCCATTTAGGGGGCTGCGTCCAGAGGTTACAGACTTCAACCGGAGCTAATATTTATCAACATGATTTGCCTACTTTTAAAAGTATCTTCTGAACTGACTTTTTTTTTTTCTAAATTGACTTAATACTAATGCATCTTTATTTATCAAAAATGTCTTCAGTGGAGTTAAATATTAATCTTTTTAGTATGTTTTAGTTTTTTATTTTGCTTTTTGGCAGTAATGAAAAATCTTCCAGTCTGGATTAGATATGAAAATGGAATGATAAAACTTGATACTATGGCATTTATTTCCAAAAATGGTGACTTCTTCATAACATAGAAAGGTGAATTGATGTTGTGTGACTGGTACCAACAGTAATTTTTTTAAACCTCAAAAAGTGCTTCTCAATATGATTTGCAAAATAGTGGCATACATAGACGAATTATACAAATTCTCAAGGAGCACAATTTGAAGCTTATAATTTCTAGGGTTATAAAAGTTCCCAGTGTCATAGTGGGAGAAAGTAGAAGATGAGAACCTAAGTACTTTCCCAATTACCTGTATAACTCACTAATGCCAGTGCCATCAGACCCACTCTCACTCGTAGTGAGCAAATCACTGCCTGGTTCTGCCTCATCCTCACAACAACGGTTTGTGTGAGCTCTTTGTTTAAGCTACTATGCTAACCCATGTTTTTAGGGTTTTCTCCTTTCCCCCTCACCTGTACTTTACTAAGTATAGTGTCTTTTTTTAGGGACTGATCTCTCTCAATAACATGTCCAAAGTATGAGAGACAAAGTCTCACCTTCATCCCTTCCAAGGAGAATTTTGGGTGCACTTCATCCAAGACAGATTCGTTTGTTCTTTGGGTAGTTCATGGTACATCGCTATTCTTCACCAACATCATAATTCAGATGATTCAGCTCTCCTTCTGCCTTTCTTATTCATCATTCAACTTTCATATGCATATGAGGTGAATGAAAACACCATGGTAATAAAAATTAAATCAAATTATTTCAGTAATACACTTGTCTTCATCTTCTTAGGGTGCCTTCAAAAAGGAAAAAAAAACAAAAAAACTAACTTTGAGCCCTGGGAGGAAAAATTTGAGGCTGGACTAAAATCAGATATTTAACAATACTCAGGTGGACATCTTTCCAAATATTGAAGTTTTCAACAAGTTTCCAAGAATCCTACCCCACTTGTTTCTAACTGACTCAAACAGTTGAAGGAAGTTCAGGAGGCGCTCAAAGATGGCTCAAGACAGGACTGTCAGCTTCAGCAAATGAAAAAACTGTGAGTGAAGTAAAAAAATGATGGGGAAAGACCTATTAATTTTATACCGATATTTCAGCTACCGAAGTTGGGCCCTCGCATTGCTCAGCTTGTTCGATTTTAAGTGAGCATCGTGACCTCAGAGAGTTTAGGCTCCATGAGTGGCTAAAGCATTGCACAAAGATCACCTAGTTTCCTATAACTGGTACTTCCATCAGTATTTTAAGCTGGATTGAGGCAAATGAAAACAATTTTACAGACTAGTCTTGGATTTATTAATATATATGTTTCAGAAAGCAAGGTCCAATCAAAATATATTCATATAACACAAAAGGAAACAAAA